GCATAGCCGCAAAGATCATCTTCCTGAATGGAAGTTAGCCCAGTTTGACGGCAACCCGTTAAACTGGCACGAATGGTTTGGTCAGTTTAAGTCCACCGTTGATTCCGCTGTTCTCACCGATGATACGAAATTGACATACTTAAAAACGCTCGTCACAGGCAAAGCAAAAACCGCAATTGCGGAGTTTAGTTATAGTGGCGTTATGTACAAGGATGCACTGGCCACCTTGCAACGGAAGTTTGGGCAACCACATGCCATTGTTGGTGCGCATCTTGATAAGCTGAATACTTTTCCTCCACTTAAGATGCACAATTCGGAAAATGTCATTAGTTTCTCCTCTGCCATATCTGGCCTCGTAGCAGTTTTCAAGTCATTGTCTTTCAACGATGATCTAAAGAGTGTTAACCTGTTAAACCAAGCTGTTAGTAAACTTCCGCCTAACCTCAAGGAGGCTTGGTCAATGCATACTGTTAGACATAATTGGCAGCGACCAACACTCTTAGACCTTAACAACTGGTTGAAAGAAAAGGCCGAGGGGCATGAAAAATTACGTTTACTCAGCTCTAAGGCAAAAAATGAAGAACCGGTTAAACCAAAAACAACCAAAGTTTTTGCAGCCAATAGCCAGGTAACTAGTAAAGCTCAGGATAAATCTCAGGATAAGTCTAAGTTTCCGCCGTGCGTTTTGTGTAAGGGTAGTCATGCATTGTGGAATTGTGCTGTTTTCAAGGAAAAGAATGCTACTCAGCGAGCAAAATACGTAGCTGAACAGAAACTTTGCTTCGCTTGCCTCAATGGCAATCATAGTTTCCGGCAATGTTCTAGAGCAAAAAAGTGCCCGAAGCCAGAGTGTGATAGCACACATAATGTCTTGCTCCATGGAGCCGAAAGAATATTTCCTCGGAAGGAAAACTCAAATGTCTCGAATAAGGCTGGAACAAACAAATCCAAGGAGAATACAAACACTTCCACCCATGCCGCTGTTAGTGATGTACTTGACATTGAATCTTCTAAAGGGTTGTTGCCAATTGCAACACTTGGTGTATCCTCGGATGTAACCAGTCTCCTGACGTTGGTTCTTTGTGATAGTGCATCGACTCACTCCTGGGTGTCTTCGTCACTCGTAAACCGTCTCGGCTTAGTAGGGGAGCCCGTTAACTTGTCAATTAGTGGTTTCAATTCGACCACCGTTGTTGAGACTCAGAGGGTCAAGTTTACAGTTTCCTCCGAGCCGAATAATAGTGATTTCGTATTTTCTCTCTGTGCATATTAATCAATATTGCTGATTTGCAGAATAAATATCCACAATTAGCACCTATTAAGCCCATTCCATATACTTATGAGGACGTTGAAGTTATTATCGGACAAGACTACTACCACGCCGTTAGACCCATTGAGTTCATCTTGGGAGATGATAAAAACTCACCGTGTTCCGTTCGCCTACCGATAGGTTGGGTCTTAAGTGGTCCGTTGCCGCCGTCCGGTAATTCTACTTCTTCGTGTTTCAAGTGTGTTGTTGAAGATTCTTCTCTGACCGACCAGATAAAATCCTGGTACGAGTTGGAATCGTATGGTGCTTTCAAACAAGTCGATGCCCGTTCCGCCGCGGATAAACATGCTTTATCCATCCTTAATTCTGAAACCGTTCACAATGGCGAAAGATACATTGTGCCTATGCTTTGGATTGATAGTAATGTCAGTCTACCAAACAATTATTACTCGTCACTCGCCCAATTTAAATCATTGGAGAGAAGGTTAAGTAAAGACCCTGAGCTGCGCGAAAGATACGCAGAAACAATTAGAGAGGACATTAGGAAAGGCTATGTCGTTACCGTCGAACCGCATGATCCACGTAAGCGTTCCGATCGCGAGTGGTATCTTCCGCACCATCCCGTCGTAAATCCGAATAAGCCGGGTAAGGTGCGCCGAGTCCTTAATGGGGCTTCTAAGTTTCATGGCACATCCTTAAATAAGTCCTTATTGGTGGGTCCTGACCTACTACAAAATTTAATTTTTGTGCTTTTGCGATTCCGTCAACATAAGTACGCCGTCTCCGCGGATATAGAGGGTATGTTCCTCCAGGTAGGAGTCCTTGCCCGCGATCAAATTTCGCTCCGTTTTTTGTGGCGGGAGGATACCACTTCCGATGTGGTAGTTCATCAGTACACTCGCCATATATTCGGCGCACGGGATTCGCCTGCGTGCGCCAGTTTCGCGTTGCAAAAAACAGCAACTGATAATATGTCCACATACCCTGAGGCCGCCTCAGTCGTAAATGAAAAATTTTACATGGACGATTACTTGGATTCATTCGAGAACGTTACCCAAGCAATTAAAACTAGTCGCGATTTGGTTTCCTTACTAAAATTGGGAGGATTTAATTTGACTAAATTTGTCAGTAATGCTGATGAAATCACTTCAGCAATGAACCTCGAGGAATCCGAAACCTCATCTTCACCCATCAAGGAAATATGTAACGGTGCCGAACAATCATCACACGTCTTAGGTCTTAAGTGGGACCATACGAAAGACACATTGGTTGTTAGCAGAGGCGTGGATCGTCCTCTCGATAAAGCAATAACTCAACGAACCGTCTTGAGTTTCGTCTCCTCCGTGTTTGACCCTGTTGGGTTAGTAGCTCCATACACAGTTAGGGCCCGTCTTTTACTGAAAGATATTTGGAAAATCAGTGGTCAAAGTTGGGACGACGAATTGCCAGAAGACATAAGAGATAAGTTTCTCGAGTGGCACTCCGGTCTCCCTCTCTTAGGGCAATTGACTATTCCCCGTTGTTACTTCACAGAGCTTGTTGATCAAATTGAGCTCCACATGTTCGGTGATAGCTCGCAGGACGTTTTCTGTGCTGTTGGATTTTTGCGTGCGCGACTCGCGAGCTCGCATAAAACTCAAATATCCTTCATCTTTGGTAAAGCTCGCGTTGCGCCCATGAAAGCGCTATCTATACCGAAGCTAGAGCTTCAAGCTGCTCTGCTCGCCACACGACTAAAAGATGATATACTGACCGCCCTTACCGTCTCTATTAATCATGTCTTTATGTGGACAGATAGTACAACAGTTTTGCAGTGGCTAAACTCCACTGAAAAATTACCTGTATTCGTCGCTAATCGTGTCGGCGAAATCCTCGAGTCGACCACTATTGATGAGTGGCACCATGTTCTGAGCGGCGATAATCCAGCTGATACCGGTACGCGGGGGATTTCTTCGGAAGCCCTCAAGGATAGCAGCTGGGTTATTGGTCCGAGCATTCTCAGGACTACTGATTGGCCGTTTATACCCGACGAACGTGTAATCAATAAAATTCGTTTGAAGGGTCCTTCTTGTGATGTTGATAATTGCTTGGAGACATCATCTTCCTTCGTCACCGATGTCACATCAATCAAACATCCCGAACACGAGTTCAATTGGGAAAGGTTCAGTTCCTTTACAAGATATAAACGAGTAGTCGCTTTTATATTGAGGGTGTTGCCTTCACATAAGCATTTCCGTGGTAAAGACTTACGAATCACCGACCCTACTGAACTTGATATTGCAGAAAGCAAACTGATTCATCTTGCTCAGATGGAATCCTTTCCCGTTGAGTTAAAAACACTCACCGCTGGCAAACCTATTAAGAATAGTAGTAAAATTGCCACATACTCGCCATTTATCGGTCCTGCTGGAATCATTCGTTCCACCGGACGTATTGTGCGCTTAGTGGATACCGAGTTTGATACTAAGCACCCAATAATACTCGACGCCCGACATACCTTAGTTCGTTTGTTGGCCCGCAGCCTCCACCATAAGCATTTTCATCAAGGATTAGATTACATGCGCTCCGTTTTAAATATGAAATATGCAATACTTGGGTTGCGTCGACTACTTCGGTCTATCGAAAATCGATGTGTGACATGCCGTAAACGCAAAGCAAGCACCATCCAGCCAATTATGTCCGATTTACCGGTCGAACGTCTCGGATACAAGCAACCACCCTTCAATCATACGGGTGTGGATTACTTTGGACCGCTTTACGTTCCGGTTCGCAGAAGCACGGAAAAAAGATGGGGATTTCTTTTTACTTGCCTCACCACCAGGGCTGTACACCTTGAGATTGTACCGTCTCTGGACACCAGTTCGTGTGTCATGGGCATTGAACGGTTCGTTGCGCGCCGTGGTACGCCAAGCACAATCTGGTCGGATAATGGCACGAACTTCGTTGGTGCGGAAAAGGAATTACTTGCCTGCATCAAGAGCTGGAATGGCATGGCTCCGACCATTTTTGCACACAAAGGCGTTACTTGGAAATTTAACCCGCCAGGCGCACCCCATCATGGCGGCTCCTGGGAACGCCTCGTCCGAAGCGTGAAGCGCGTGCTGTACGATATCCTAGGCAGTAGGCGAGTCACTGAAGAGGTGTTAGGAACAACACTCTGCTTAGTTGAACAGGCTTTGAACTCGAGGCCAATCACTCCCGTTAGTACCGATTCACGTGAGTTAGAAGCGTTAACCCCAAACCATTTTTTGCTTGGACAACATGCCACAAGCTTTCCTTCGCTTTTACCCGGGGAGCACTTCGATCACAAGAAAAGGTACGTGCGAGCGCAGTCATATGCTAACGCGATTTGGTCTCGTTGGCTTCGAGAATATGTTCCCTCGCTGAATAAGCGTGTCAAGTGGCACACTCATTCTGACTTCACTCTTAAAACAGGCGATCTCGTGTGGGTGATTGAGCCCGATAGTCCGCGTGGGTACTACCCTCTCGCCCGAATCGTCAAGCTAAACTACGGACAGGACGGTTGCGCCCGATCCGCCCTTGTCAGGACCGCAACCCGTGAAGTCACGCGGCCGACCGTTAAGCTCGCTCCGGTTCTTCCTTCTTCAGGGGGGGAGGATGTTGCAATGCAAATGTAATATAAAACGATAGTATAAATGCATAAAACTGAACCAAAATGTAACAACAATAAGCGCAATTGGCCGAGTGGCCTAAGCTACAATAACGCCCACTATATAGACTCTACAGTTGACGTAGGTTCGAGTCCCCCACCTGCCCATGTATTAATATACTAAAAAAGGGGGTTATATCCTATTTTAACTGTTTTGTTGATTCTAATTTGGTTCAACCTTGATTAAGGCTGACCGCTAAAAAAGAGCAATTTGTCTCAAGGACATTACCGACCGGTTCTTGTGGCTAGCTTGC